CATCGTCAGCGTACTGGGATATTTTATATTGAAGGCCCCCTGCTCCGGGGAGCAGGAAACCTTCAATATCTTTACAATTACGGATTTGCATTGATAATATTTCTGAAACTAGCACGTAGAGGGGGGGAGATAATGGGCATCCCTGTCTCACCCCTCTCCGTAAGTGTACAGGGGGGGGGGACAGAAGCCATTAACAATTATTGTAGAGAAGGCTTTAGAATAATATAGTTCCACCCACCCACAAAAGGAGGGGCCGAAACCGAATTTACGCAATACTCTCATCATGAATTCGTGGTCAACTCGGTCAAAAGCTTTTTCTTGATCTAAGGAAATGAGAATACCTGGTTCATTTGTTTTGTCAATCATGTCAAGGGTGTCACGAAGTAAGACCAAATTTGAGAAGATAGTGCGGCCGATCACACTGCACGTTTGATCTGAAAGCACGATAGAGTTCATGACTTTTTTCAATCGTTCAGTGATGATTTTAGATGCTAACTTATAGTCAGTGTTTAACAAGGAAATTGGGCGCCAAATTTTTGCGACGCGTCCATCGTCTTTTTTGTGGACGAGTCGAAGGGGGCCCTCGTACTGGCTATCCGCGAGGGAGCAAGCAAGAAAGACCTCATTCAAAACAGAAAGGAGAGATTCGCTCAAAAATCGTTCCAAAAACACGAATAAAATTCTGTTGGAAGACCATCGGAACCGGGTGACTTACCGGTCCGAAGGCCTTCTAACGCGGTAGACAGTTCAGTTGCCGTAAAAGGGCCTTCGCATAAATTTCGTTCAAAATCAGTGAGTGAAAAGCTTAGATCCTCGATTATTTCTGTTTGAACTTGCATGTCTAAGGGATCTTTAGAGAATAGATCTTTATAGTATTTAGTTAGAATGTTTACTAGATCAGGTTAAGATTTTTTCTCAATGCCATTTCCGTCAAAAAGGGATTCAAAAGAATTAACATCAGCTCGTTTTCTTCCCGAGACGAAAAAAATAACGTGTTAGCTTTTCGCCTTCCTCGAACTACTGCGCGCGAGAACGAAACTTAGATCCTTAGGCTTCCTTAGAGATTAGAGAGGAGAGTTGGCTCTCTTAATCGTTAATTATACTTGGGTCAGTTAGACTGTTAGCGTGTAAAGCAGCCCTAGCGCGAATTAACTGTTTAGTAATTGAGATTCTTTTAGTGTTCGCGATTTTTTGTTTGCGGGTGCTATAAGAAATAGTGGTTTTGCGGATTTGAATTTTTAAAGCGTCCCACCATTCGCGCAGGGACGCGAACTGCAGGATTTTGAGTTTAAAATCAGAAATCGATTTCGACATGGCATGTTTGAATTCTATATCAGAAAGCAAGCGTGTATTAAATTTCCAGATGCCGGGGCCATGATTAGAGGGGTTAGTCGTTAGTTCAATTTTTACAAAGTCATGATCGGATAGTACGTATACGCATGGAAGAATATTACATTTCGTCACTGGGGTTAAGCCTTTAGCTAGGAGAAAGCGGTCAATTCTAGATGCCAGCGTATGATCTTTGTTAGACCAGGTGATAGTTACTTTGCGCGGGTTGTTTTTACGCCAAATATCCGTAAGTGGGAAATCAGCACAAAGGGATCGGAGAAGGTTTTGATCAGACAATGGGATAGCAGAACAATTTAGTTTATCTAGGAAATTTTCTACACAATTAAAGTCTCCCCCATCACTAGATCCTCTTGGGGGAGAAAGTAATCGTGCAGACAAGAGAAAAATCTTTTACGAACCGAAATAGCATTGGGAGAGTAAATATTTACTAAATTTAGTTTAGAATTATAGTATTCAATGAGTAAGCTCAATATTCTTCCGTCGGAATCGGTCAAAAAACGGATAATTCTGCCTGAGAAGTTTAAAGAAAAAAGGATGGAAACACCTGCAGACCTGCAAGTCCCGAAGGACCACAGTATTTCGAATTCCTCCGCTTGTTTTTTYCACGAGAAATGTGTTTCTTGTAAAAGGATTATGTCACAGTTTGAATAATATAATTCTTGAATAATTTTTTGACTTTTACTGGAGGACCCGAGTCCTCGCACATTTAGAGAAATTATTTTAAGCTTGCTCATTGAATAGAAATAAATACTAATACATTAATATCTGTATCAGCTTCTCCTAGGTTTAGCTCTCTGCCATCCATCATCATCAGTTTCGGAGCCTGAGTAGTCACGGCGGGAAGATCTATCGCGGTCATCGCGACCGCGATAATAATCTCGATCGTCTCTATCTCTCTCTCTCTCTTCTGTCGTCTCTCCCGTCATCTCTTCGTTCTTCTCGATCATCCCTCGCTCGTCTCTACGTTCTTTTGGTCGTTTCCTTCAACCTTCGTCGCGTTGTTCTTGTTGTTTCTGTTGATCTTGTTGTTTCTGTTGTTCTTGTTGTTTCTGCTGTTCTAGTAGTTTCTGTTGTTCTTCTCGTTGTCGTTGCTGTTCTCTCTGTTGTTGTAGTTTTTGCTGTCTTTCTTCTCTTTCCTTGGCGCGCTGGGGTCGCTCTTGTTTCTTTTCCTCTTCAGTTTTAGGTTGCGTTGGCTCACTATCGACGTTCGCGCTGAAGAGCAGGAAGGGGCATTGAGGCATGGAATGGATGTCCGCTAAACAAACGGAACATCTTGGCGAGTCTTTACATTCTTGAGCTCGATGCGCAGGGCATTCACAATTAAAACAACGGACTGCAGAGCAGTCTTTGGCCATGTGATCAGTAGCTCCACAATTCCGGCAAGCATTTGGTNGAAGTGTGCGGTTTGTCGATGTCTTGAAGGGCGAAAGGTTCGGAATCAATGTTGAAGAGAAATTAGGCGTAGGAACTGTTCTTTGGCGGCAATAGATTTGAGGGTGACCACAACTTCACCGTTGAGTTTACGTTGTAAACACTGAATGTCGGTCGGAGAGACATTACACTGGGCAAAAGTATCAAAAACAGTACGGGCGCTTGTGTTTTTGTTTGGAATAAAGAAGGCAGTTTTCGGCTTTTGAGGCATGCTGTTTTCGGGAAACTGTATTTGCGGCGGTCTTGTTTCACTTGTAATACTAGAAGTGCGAGCAGCTCTTGAAGCGTATAAGTCACCATTAACGGTTGAGCGGTCTTGAACATTTTCGTTGCCTATCCTTGACATTTCATCCAGTCCATCCACATTCATTGTTAAATCCATTATCATACACAAAGCAAAAGTAGAATAGAGGGCCCCAGAGGGCAAACTAACCTGAAAAATCTCGGATTCCGTATATCACGCTTTGACTAGGCAGGAGCGACAAAAGCACGAGAAGCTTATAACTGTTTCGGCCTTCTGGGCCTCATCAGTGCAGTGCTGATTCTAGGTAGGGGGTGACGCTATAAAGCCACCCCAAACGATCCCAGATTTGTGGTACCATTTAAGCCATGCCAGAGTGCTCAAACTAGAAATTAGTGAGCTTCGCACAAATGCACGACATGACTTATCCCCTTGTAGAGTGCTTGATTTGGACATAAAAGCAAAGCTTTGTAATGCCAAAGAGCTATATACATTGTTTCTTAACAATTGGTTCATGCTTTAGCGTGCACTATGGAGTTATGGAGCACGTGGCAAGTTTGGAGAGCATGAAAGAAATGTAAGAGTTGCCCGAGGCAATAGCCGAGGGCAACTCTTGCTTCTTGAGTGCTTTCCAAACTTCCCACATACGCCATAACTCGATAGTGCACAGCTAAAGCATGAACCAATTGTTTTATAACATAGCCGGTGGAATTGTATATCAAATCCGACGCGAAAAACGGACAACAATATCAGAAGTGATTGTTCGCGGTGAGCGAAATATTGTGCAAAATAGGAATTGGTTTTATTTTAAATTTTGAGGGTTGAAACAGACCAGTTTGTGATTTGTTTGATTTTACCAGTGTCTTTCTGTCAAATTTGTTGCATTTCACCCTCGGAAAGTGGAGCGAATCGTGACGGCGCTGATGCCTAGTCTCTTTTTCCGTTGTTTTTCTCTTTTTCTGCCTCATTTAAGAACTCTAGCCCAAGAAAAGAGGTCGGAAAATTGTCTTCATTTTGGGACTGGTGGGCCGAGTCCTGTTTGTAGCCATTATTGTCGCGAAATATATTATTTTTCCCCGCCCTAATAATGGCCGAATAATGGCTAATAATGGCGAAGCGATTTGCTCACGTTATCAGCATGCACTATCGGGATTTTGGGCACGCTTACGTATACTGAATTTGATTGCGTGGCTCCGCTAGCTATGTTATAAAATATAATATAATATAATATAATATAATATGATATAATATGATATGATATTAAAATATTAAAACTAATTTAAAGGCCCTTCCAAAAATAAAATAATTCGGCGAATAAGACTAAACAAACTACTGCAAAATACTAACGAAAGCAAATTATTAGCAGGCGACATGAGAAATGTCAATCGTGTAACAACAATATAATGAAAATTGGGCTAAAATCAATTGTAATGGTTGCAAGCTCGGCTGGTTGCAATTTGCAGGGAGGAATTTAACTATTGTCAATTTCAGGGACCAAAATTATTGAATTCTCTTTATACAAAATGCCCTATATCACCTTTGAAATCTAGATTAGGAAAAATTTTCCTTTCCTGATTCTCCTTAAGTAGATATAGTTTGCTGGTTTCAAGCAGAATGTTTTTAGCGTCTTTCCTTGCTTGCTTTTTACAATGTCTGTGTGTGTGTATTTTTAACTATGTTCCGTTAAAGATTCACGCATAAAAACTGTATTTTTGGTCTTAGTTAGTAGGGAGACCCATGGTCTTAAGACGCGTGGTTTCCAAATTATAATTAGCTTCGTCGCCAAAATTGCAAATATTTCCTGGCTAAAATAATAAATCAATTGATCAAAATTAAATAAACAAATTTGGACCGGAATGACCAGGATGTTATGGAGGACTCAAACAGAGTTCTCCTTCCAAACATTGGAAAACTACAAACCCAATAGAGTGCTCCTAACCTTTCAAAGCCTATGACTGAGGTTGGTAAATTTGCTTACCTGGCCACCAACAATCAATTCAGCACGAACAACGTTTACGTCACAACCTCCGCCAATAAGAAATGAGATTATTGGACCAATAATTTCGAACGCTGGGGAGGTCAGGGTTCCCTGGGGGCCGTCTCCATTTCCTGGTTGCCTTAATCCTGGTACTGAGGATTTGTTAGGTCGGTGCTCGGCTCCTCCAATCCACCAGTCTCCCTGATGATTGGATGGCTGGTCTCTGCCACGAGCTGTAGGATTATCACCGTATGTCGGCTGGTTATCAAACACTGTACCAGTCTTCTCCCAGTCGTCGATTCCATTTTCAAAATCGAACTTGCAATAGACTTACAACAAAGAAAAAAATAGGAATAGAACGCGCT